TAAGTCCTGCCAAGGGTTATGATAGGTGTCAGAAATGACCACCTCCCCAAAAGCGATAGAACCTTGCCAATAGTAAGCAAAGGAGCAGACACGGATGTCCAAACAGCCAGTTCCATATAATGGAGCCAGAGAGGATAAGGTTGGGCCCAACCGAGATGGGTCTTGAAGAAAACACACAGATATACAAGGTAATGAATAGGATAAAGGAAGTACCCTTCCAATGTGATCAACCATCCCACCCACACAGCACTGAGAAGGAGCTGACGAGTAGAACTGGTCGACTCCCATTCGGAATGGGCAAGAAGAAGACAGTCGTCCATGTAGGGAAGGAAGTGCAGCCCCAGGGTATAAATATGCCGAGCAAAAGGGTGAATCACTCAAGAAAAACATATGGCAGACTGAAGGGCAAGCACTAAAAAAGGTATACTACCCCACGATGGGCAAACTGGTGAGAGTAAAACCTCTCAGGATGGGACAGGAAGGGCTGTGAAGGGTAGGGTCGGAAAACGGGATTCAGAGCAGCTTCGACGAAGAACAATGGGCACCTGATGTGAAAGGTGGATCACTGTTGGACAGAAACCACCCTGAACTCGAAGGCCATAGTAATTGTGTCACACTTGAAATGTCGTAAAAACGGGGCCATAACAAGGTCACGTATATACGGATGCCGGGTGCACAAGAAAATAGCATCTCAATCCAAAAAATCCTAAAGAGAAGTGAACCACGTGTGTAGGGCAGAGCCCAGGGCTGGATTAAGGGGTCTATGAGGCATGGAGCTGAAGACTTCCATTGGGCCTATTCACACTTGTTTATAATACAAACAAATAAAGTGGTCATTTAGACTTTAGATCTACCAGGCTTTAACAAATATTATTTTGATATCAAGAAACATGGTAGTGGTCGGGAATAGCCAAGGGATCTGGGTGCTTGACTCGCAAACTGAGGGTCGTGGGTTTGAATTCCTATCCCACCAAACATGCTCACTCTTTCGGCTGTGGGGGCGTTATATTGTGACAGTCAATCCCACTATTCTTTGGTAAAAGAATAGCCCAAGAGTTGTTGGTGGGTGGTGATGACTAACTGTTTTCCCTGTAGTCTTTCACTGCTAAATTAGGGACGGCTAGCACAGATAGCCCTCGTGTAGCTTTGCGTGAAATTCAAACTAAACCACATGGTATGTCATGCAGCCAAACCAACCTGCAGGACGCACTGTGTGTTATTAACAGAGTGATAGTTTTGCAATTTTCCACTTTCTGTAGTTCAGACTGTGGTAAGCCTAACTATCACATATTTTCAGTGAATGTGTTCTACTGTACCCTTCCTTCACATACCAAATTTCAAGGCAATACATTGAGAAATAAATGAGATATAAAATTTCCACTTTTTGTTTTCTTTGCACCGAAAGTACCAAAAATTTATTTGATAGAAAAACTTACTTAACTTTTATGGATTTTTTTAAAATTTAGTCTAACTATAAGCTACATATACAAAGTTATTCAACAAAAACCACTCAATTTTGAACAAAATGCTTGCGCACGCCTACGCAAAAAGTCACATGAGCTATCGATCTAAAATATTTACTACAGCTTCACTTAAGAGTAAAAGTGGACCACATTTAGTTTTTGTCATTTGAATTAAAGAAGGCTGATTTAGAGCAGCAAAACTATAGGGTGAAAGAAAGTGCAGATACATAAGTATTGGTTAGGCAAAGCAAACTAGATTAACAGTTTTTAGCTCAAGTTTTCAAAAGAATTATACAGGTGAACAATTATTATTCATTGCCAATTTTTAAGCACAAATTAGCTAAATCTTATGAAGTTCTTCTAAATAAAGAGCATTTAACATCATATGATATTAGTTTAAGCAATTAGTGTAAATAATGATGCTTGATACGGCTGCATGCGAGTGATGACAAGAAACTGTTAATCTAGTTTCCATGGTGTTACTATAAAGAAAGTTATTAACACTGTTTTAGAAAGGAAACACTGTGTTAAAGAATCTGGTTGGTCTTGTAAAGTACAGGTCTGTTCCAAATAATAGGGTTGCAATCCTAAAGCTATTGTTGATTACTATCGTTTGTCACTTTATTTGCTAATGGTTTGTTGACAAAAGGGTCATGATATCTAATCAAAAACACCTTAGGTGTGAAAAAAAAAAAGGCGACCAAAAAAGCATAGAGTGTGTGACTTAAAGGAATGAAATCAAAATTGGCAACCAAACTGTTAAGCTACAGTTATAGTATTTATAAGAATTTTACAGCCAATATTAATTCATTAGTTAGCTTGGCCATATATTTTGTTTTACCCACCAATAATGCCCCAAGCTGAACAAAAAACTCAGTCTGGCTAACCAATGAAAAAATATTTGCTGTAAAATATCATACAATTAGGCCCACAATAATAATAATTCATGCTCTGCATCATTTTGGTAATATCTGAAGTAAAACAGTTCAACACAGACTTTGAAACAATAAAATATTTTACAGCATTTTCCATTAAACGAGAGGGTGGTCTTAATATGAACAATTGAGTTAAGCATCTTCAAACTCATCTTGTTTTAATATTTTTGCTAAAAATATGTTAAAGACGAAGTATTTTACGTGTGCTTTATTAATTTTGTGTATAATTGCTCACTTATTTTTACCGACATTGTAACCGCCACAAAAAATATTAAATAAATTTAAATTACCCTTTTTTCTTTCTAGAATGGCTGTAGATTATAACAGAAAATTATAATTACTTATAATAATGTGGCCTTAGAACTTTTTTATTTAATTAAGAATGTGAAATATTTCTACACACTTCAATATATACCCAAAGTGGTAACAGCAACTTCTGAATTCAGATTACATACTAAACAAACATGGGTACATCAAATGCTCTCAAATAAGAGATATTAAATTAAATGAAGTTTAAGTTAAACCATCTCAAGGGTAATCAGTGGTCTGAAGAAAGACATATGCACTATAGCACTGCCAATTTTCAAAGTGATAGTTCAATAGTGGTGCATAGAGGGAGTCACATGCATCACATGATAGTAGTGTTCTCCTATTGGTGGAGATTTGATGCATGATGATTTGCATGAGTGACATGTTGAAACTTTGGATTCCAACAGAGGGATGTGGAGGCTTGTGGCACACATTCTGAAAATAGTCCACATACAGAGAACAGTACAAAATGAGAAAAGCTAATCTTGTGAGAGGAGGGAAGGTGCTGTATCAGAATTCAAGATCTCAACCCGCAAATAGAATATAAGCTTAATATTCGGTGACGAGGAACCCACTTTGAGATTAATAATGGCTGGAGACGGCTTGAATGGGTAATAAAGAA